AGGGTCTGCTTTTTCTTAAAACAACTGACAAAATATTTTGGTCCTGTGAACATGCAATTCTGTTGTTGAATTAGAAAGATGCTTTTGCTCATACGGCTTGGAAAGGCTTCCTGGTTGCTTTCAGAGTGTGTGAAGCACTAAATTCTGAAGGTCAGATAAGTTGTGACACATTATGGGTAAGCTCATCAGCATCTTACTTCATAGTGAGTTCAGAAGGGCATGATGTAGGCAGTTCAGTAAGTGATGTTCATGATGCTCTGCTACAGAACATTTGGGTTTCCCTACAGGTGTAATCAGTATGAAGTGAGTCATTAGTCATCACATTTTCTGGAAGAGTCAGAAGAGAAAAAGTTTAGAGTGAAATTGAATACAGTTTGTAATTTACTTTTGTCACTAATATGGGGGAAGGATGTTTTGCATCAAGCTTGTTCACTGAAAAAGCCTACCGTAGCCTGGTTCTTATGGGAAGTTGTGGCTAGAAATGAATAGAATGAGAATATAAGATTTTTTGATCTGATTTACTATTATTTATAGTAGGAATTTATGAAGATGATTTGTGCAGACATGTCCTTTTATGTGATTAAAAAAAATCAGTGAGAGTAGGGGATGGGGATGGTGGAGGTACAGGGCAATGGGGATGGTTACATAGTCATAAAAGAAAAAGTGAACACATGGAAACTATGTATAGGATGGGTACCTAGGCCAGAAGGAAAGTAATAGAAAAATATCCTTACCCTAGGGAACTGAGTCTTGTCTCTGCAAGGTATTTGCTAATGTTGTGAAGCCATCTGTAAATTCAAATTCCAGGAAATGTACCAGACATATTCTTCCTGTTTAAATACAAAAACTCAAATTTTCCAGGGCTAAAACATTCTTTAAATCGAGTGTTGATTGAGGTTTCAAGGCTGGAAATTTCAACAAAGACTGATGTGTTTAGTGGCCAGGAAAAACAATTCTGGCAAATATTAGTTTGACTTGTAGCTTCTAGCATTCACCATTTCAGACCAAAAGTTATGTTTTCATATCTTAAGGACAAATAGGATAAAAAGCAGTTAATATATTAGGGATTGACATTCAAGGTCCTTGATCATTTTCAACAAATATTTCCAAACAGCCTCTGCTGGGTAGGTTGAGGCATAGCCCCAGAGTGATGCCTTCTGTCCCCCTGGCTCTCAGAGGACATAGGTGAAACCTATCACTGGGAAGACTTCCATAGTTCCACTAGCTTTTCCAACTAGAAATGATTTGAGTCTAGTCTAGTTTATGCCAGTCTATGCTTCCGTAGCCTCAGGAGAAACTTTGCTGCCTGGGAATTCTTCTACTTTGTTTGGTGAAGGAAGGTCGCGCGGACAGGGTGGAGCTGCCTGAAAGAGTAAAATTCCTTTGTGTTACCTGTTAATTGGAAGTTCTAACTTTTGGGTCCCTTCTTCATCCCCTCCCTTTTCTTCCCTGTCATTTGAAATTATATATAGGAGATCTGAAGGGTTCTCTCTCGCTCTTAACCTCAGTCCCCTTAGGAGACTGAAAATCTTTTTTGGGAGAGAATCGGTGAGAGCAGGATAAAATTGGAAGGCTCTCCCCCTAGTCCTGCCCTGGCCCAGTTCCCTCACTCTATCTGCTTTCCCCCCTTCTCCTCCCAGCGAGGCTGTGTTAGTTGAGAGTCCTGCTGTTTTGCGTTGCAGGCCCCATGCCTTCTTTTAAGCCAGATCCACGCCTGCATTTGCTAAGAACTAGTCGGTACCAGCCGTACCAGCCGCAGTTTCCTACGCGGCGTTGCCAGGACACCTCAGTGCTTCCCCGGGTGGCTATCGGCCTCTCTAGCCCAAGGAGCCCTCCTCCTTGCCGTTCCCCAAACAAAGGCTCGCTGAAAGCAGCGTTAAAATTCTGAGTTAGAATGCTCCTCGACAGTAACAGCAAATTACTACTGTCAAGGGGCCCTTGGGGGTAGTTTTGGTCTTTGAGACATCAGTCGCTCCGTGTTTGCCTCCACCCAACAGAAAGCAGAAAGAGCCTGTGCGACACTCACAGGAGGGTTTGGCGAGGTTGGGGCATAACTGCAGAACCGAGCAGTTTTGGAGCCCTGTCCTCAGCGACTAGTTCCTCTCCTTCCTCAGCGTTCCCGGTATCCCTTGGCTCAAGGGCCCAGGGCCAGAACTTTCGAGAAAAGGAAAGCTTCCTTGCTCGATGGACGCACATTCGCCTAATGAGAGACAGACAGTTGGCCGGAGAAAGATCTATGGAACTGTCCTTTCCCGGGCTTGATTCCCCCAGGTAGCTGTGTGTCGGTCTGGGCGGGTCTTTAGATTGTGCTGAGCCACAGTCGGATCTTGGAAGCTTGATTTTCTGGAAGTCAGTGACCAAGAATCTTAAAATGAATTCTCTGCTTAATTTTCCCCTTTGGTGAATGGGTTCAGGCCTCAAGGTCGTTAATTTTGGAGTGCTGAGCCTTGAGTTCCGCGCTCTCAGGTCCCGAGTGCCTAAGCTGAACGGAGTGAAAGCCGCAAAGCCCGTGTAAGCCAGGGCACAGTTCAGATTGTTGCGGGCCATGGAGCCAGTAGTTCTGTCACCCTCCCCATAAAGTTAATGGTGTTTGTGGTTTTCCCTCTGATAGTCCATGAAGTCAACAATCTCCCCACATGGTGGCTCCCTTTACTAAAGTTGAGTAGTGAATTTGTACAAGGAGTCTTGGAAATTTTCAAATATTTCTACAGATTGAACTCATTTCAGAATTCGTGTGGGAGGGAAGAGCAAAGATTTTAATCGGGTTCACCTTCGACGCGAAGCAAGGCGGAGGACAGGGAAGTCACAGTCAGTAATAGCTTTGGGGACTTTCGTAAAAAAGATATCTCTGCTTGATTATCCAGTTGTGTTCACCGCAGGCTCTTTGTGTGCGAATTTACTCCAGAGGCAGAGCTGAACATGGGACACATGCATGTAAACACTTCAACATAAATAGGCGAACATATGCAGTGGAGACAAAGAGATATATCATAGCTTTATTGCAGGCAGGCAATCTGGATCATCCCCAGAAATAAACTAAGAAGCAGTAGCTTCTGGTTATTCATGGCCAGGAATAAGTAAAACTTAGTCTTCTTAAAGGAAATATTAAATCTTAAATAAGTAGGAAAGGCATTCAAAATGAGAAGCATTATAATTTTGTCTTTGAAAAAGCATGCAGAACTAATATAGCTTATTTAAATGTTAGCTCCAAATTGTAATAGGAAATATTCCCACTAAATTGCCATTTCCTCTAAATTTTGTTTAAGATCCAAATAATTAAAATGCACACTAATGGTTATTGATGACTCTATTTCCTTTGAGCCATAAAAAGAAATAGACCTGATTTTCTCTTACTGGAGTAGAAGTTTAGGAATCTTCTTAAATTGCTTAAGGGCTTGAGAGCCTCCATGTGGCTGTAGTCTTCCCTTATTGCTTTCTTCTTTCCACGTCATTTTCAGCTAAAAAAAAATTTAACGGTTCCCAGTGGAGGGATTCCCGTTAGAAGCCCTCAGCAAGTGAACTTGTACTGGGAATCCTCGTACTTTCCCAGTCTGTCTGTATTTCCCCAAACAGAACACAAGTTGTAAATAAAGGGGGAAAATATTTCTCACTCCCAAATTCTTACAATTTTAATTTTTTGAGGAAAATACAATTTCACAATTCTAATCTCTAAAGTCAATAAGAGTCACAGAAAATGTGAAGGTGTCCAAATAGGTCATCTAGAGATTTAAAAACCAGGATTAACAGGAAACAGAATGCTCTTTACTCAAATGTAGTCAAGGTCTGACTGTTCTCAGCATTAAGAGCAATCATGGACACTGCAGTGGGGGGCATATCTCAACAATGGGGAGACTTGGACAATGAATTGCCACGTTAATAGTATCAGTGCCAAATCTTCAGATTTAGAGGCTCTGGTGAAAAATTAAACCAATGGCAATTTTCAATGTTTCAATGACCAGAGTTCAGCACTCAGAGTGTGGACAGCTCCAGAGGCCCCACTCCGAAGGCTGCTTTGACTCTAATCAATCTATTCCAAGCCAGACTGTTAACGACAGCCAGACTCATTAGCGATTTACTGAAAATCCTCCAAGACTTCCCTTTAAAAACAAAACGACTTCCACATTTAATTGTCTATCTAAAAGAACATACGCAAGAAATTAGGAGATCTAAATTAAATTTATTAATAGGAGAGCTTGATGGTGCTTAATTCTAGAGGCCGGAGCTCTGATTGCTGGGGCTTGATGAAAAGTAAAGAGAAATTGTAGAGACATAATTAAAAACATGACTTTTGCCATCCTCAAAATTGTATGAATTCTTTACCCATCCTTGAGAAATGGGCAAAATTGAAAAACATCAAAATAATTGCACTTCTTAAAAATTGGATTGTATGAGTGAAAGGTGTTTATGAGAAGTCGATGACTCCGGATCTTATCATCCAAGAGGACAGCACAGAATAGTTAATATGTTCCTTGAGGGACTAGGATGCTGACGTCTTTTTCTGATACCCGATCATTACGTGACTGAAAAAAAAAAAAAAAAGGAAGTCATTCCATGAATAAAAATCGGAGCGCAACAGTGCAACAAAATATTCTGTACTTAAAGGCCATAGGCAGACAGATGTTGACAAGCAAGTCTCTTCTAAAACCAAATTCAGATAGATTTCTGTCAACTGCACATATAAATAGGAGCAGAGGTCCGGTCACCTCTGTAACCACCGGCAGCAGCAGCAGCAGCAGCAGCCGCAGCTTCAGACGCAGCCAGAGAGACCTCAGAGCAGAGAAGGCGCTGCCTACTTGCACAACTGCCTGACCAGGCGGTTCTGACAGATGCCAGCTGAGACACGGCCCTCCCTCTTTCTTCTTCTCCTTCTTTGACTTTCCCTCTTTTCCTTAATCACTTACTTCTTTCTCCTGGTGGACTTCGGCCACTTTGTCCCCCACCCCTCACTTTAGCTGCTCGCCTCCTCTTTCTTTCTTTTACATCTCTCTCCTCGCCCCCTTCCCTCCCTGTCACGCTTCCTCCTAGCTCCGTGCATCTGCAAACTTTTGAACAGAATATTGGCCTCAGCAAACAAGTCCTCCAGCTCCTCCTGCTGCTCCTGCTCATTCCTGCGCCTTCTCAGACACTAAAGCCAGACGGTGATGCCTCTTGGGTTGTGACTCCAGCGCAGAAACTTGGAGGAGCCCTTTGCCCGCCGTCCTACTTGGCAACACAGCCTCTCCCAGCAGCGGTAAGAGTTGAACGGTAAGGAGGAAATATCTTACCAAATCAAACGACTCCTTTGCTGATTCTTTGACCATTATCAGGGTATGAGTTAGCTTTCCTTTGCACCAGGTCTGGCGAGTTATTGGGTCCTGGATACATACATATATATTTTTTAACTATAGAGAGAGGGAAGCGGCAGGGCGCGCGCGGGCTGTCCTTAAGCGGTGTTCAACACTGGGAGCCGACCCCTCCCCCAGCTCTGGAGTTTCTTGGGGTTGGAGGGTGAAAGGCCAGGGGCTGTTCTGACAGTTGTGTGTCCTCTTTCCCCTCCTGCGCAGAATGACCATGTGTAGCGGAGCGAGGCTGGCCCTCCTGGTCTACGGGATAATAATGCACAGCAGCGTCTACTGCTCACCTTCCGCCGCAGGACTCCGGTTCCCTGGAATCAGGTAGGTGCTTGCTGTCCGGGCTGAACTGAGGCTTGGCTTCCCCCAACACTTCCTCGTGGTCGCCCTCCTGCAGTTCCGCGGTCCCGGCCACAATCATCTTCCCAGGGGCTCCCAGTACTCCGCCGCCGTCAGCCCCGGTCGGACCGCAGGTACCTGGCCTTGGCCCTGGCTCTGGCTCTGCGAGAGGGCCGGGCAGGCTCCAATGCGGCTCCGCGCCCCTCCCCCAGCCCGCCGCCGCGAAGGGGCCAGGGTTGAGCAAGGGAGCCTCAGCGGGCTGGAGAAACCTCCCCTCCCCCAGCCCCGCCTGCAGGAGGGGGCAGGGCTGGTCCCCGAGCAAGACTTCTTTTCCCTATTCTTAGCTTGAGTTAGGAGAACTTCTGCTCTGGGGCCCGCAGCCAGGTTGGAGGGTTGAGCGTGAAGCTCCCGTGGACTTTGCTTTGTTACAGCTTGTTCTGGACTATCGGGGCGGGGTCTCCCTCTCTCTCCTCTGATCTCCCTTTCACTTCAATTCGAATTCTTTCCCTTGAAAGAGCTTTCTCCTAAGTGATACGTTTTCCAACTGCAACCTGAGTGTCAGACTGTCTTGGAGAGGGGGAGTGTTGGCCAGGTATGGTTGAGGAAAGGCGATTTCAGAGAAGAAAGAACAAGAATGAGTCTGAAAGGAAGGGGAAGAAACGGATGCAAGGAAGGAGGAAGAGAAAGCAGGCAGGCAGGCAGGACCTGGACAACTCTGCCCGCCAGAGGCTGGAGTAACCGTGGCTTTCTTTTCAATCCCTGGTTTCTAATCGGTTGACACTGATGGGTTCCTAACGCAGCCCCAAAGTCCCGGGGCGGTCAGCGGACAGTAGTAGATCCCTTTGCAGCGCAGCGTGGGTGCTGAACGGTGTACGCGGCTCCCTGCAGCTCCGAGCGCGCCTTCTGCCTGCAAAGCTGCTTCTCTGAGCCGCGCCCAAGAACGGTCTCCTTAGGGGCCACTGACCGTTGATTTGGCCGAAGATATGGGTTCTGGCTTCAATATAAGGATTCCAGCTTTTGTGCACGGGGCAGGGATGGAAATGGCCAGAAAGACCCGGGGACTCTGGGAAGCTGGGCCATAGAGGAGGCAAGTCGCCAAGGGAGGGCTGGGTGCAGGGCGGACGGAGACTTGTGCTTGCCTTGTCCTTACCAATCCCGGGATGGAGGAAAGGCGAGCAGATGAACGAATACGACTCTAACCCCTATCAGAGAGCGCTACTTGCCCTGGCCGCGTCCCGGGTCTCTCCAGCGACTCGAGGCAGGAGGTTTTGTGTTTTAGCCCACCTCTCCCCGTCCTACATTAAGGATAGAGGCGGTAGGCAAGGGCGACTTCCAGACCGCGGCGCTCCGGTTGGCCCTCGGTCCCCTGTTGACTCTCCCTTTCCGCCGCCTCAACATCGCTAACAGATTAGCGCGAACTATTTATTTAGATGACTTCAAAGCCCTATTTCATTACCAGCAATTTTCGAAGTCCCGTGTGCCTAGCACTTTCCCTGGACGCGAGGCACCAAGGTGCGTGGACATGCCACAAAGAATGAGCCGCCGCCAAACCGGCTAAGTTTAGGGGCATCTATTATTCATGTTCCTGCCAAATCCTCTCCCGCCCAAAATAGAAGCCGGAGGTTCTCCGTGACCTACATCTGTGCGGGGAAGGGCTCCCCTGGGCTCAGAGGCTGGGTGGGGGTGGCTGCCGGAGTCGGCCGCCGCACATCCCACCCATCCGCCTCCCTCGGTGTAACGCTCCGGGCCTCCCCATGGGGTCTTCGCGTCGGCCAGCGTCTTGTCTCTGAGGACCTTCCTCATCCCCGCCCGTGGCTGCTTATTTGGGGTGGCTCAGGCGCCAGGTCCCCGTAGGGGGCAGGTCCTTCTTGGTGGCCAGGTACGAGGTTGGCATGGACATCTGGGCTTCCCAGACCTTGCAGGGCGACCCTGCAGGGCGAGAGGAGGGGGCGCAGAGCCGCCTGGAGGGGTGAGGAATCACTGTTGGGTGTACTTTCTAAAGCCTTACCTCTACCGCCCCCCTCTCCCACTCCCGCCCCGCCCCTGTCCCGGAAGAAGAGGCAATTCTCCGAGAGGGACCTTTAGGAAGAAGGAAAGTCAGTGCGAGCCCCTTTCTGTGCGTCCTTGAGGAGCCGGGGAGGGACCTGTACTGACCACTCCTGCCCCCGGCTCTCCCTGCAGGCCAGAGGACGAGGCGTACGACGAAGACGGAAACCCGCAGCAGGACTTCTACGACTCGGAGCAGCCCGGCGTGGGGAGCCCCGCCTCCGCGCTGCGCGACGCCTACGCGCTCTACTACCCGGCGGAGAAGAGGTACCACCCGCGCGGCCTCCGCGCCAGGCCCGGGTCTGAGGTGGCGGGAGGGGCGGGGTGGTGGCCCACAGAATAGGATGTCTTTCATAAAAGCCCTCAAGCCTCTCTTTTCCTTGACTGGTACCCGAGAGAGCGACAAAAAGTTAGTAGCCGGCGGGTCTGTGTGGACAAGAGGGACGGGTGGGAACCAAAGGTCTGTGGATCAAGGAGTGGCCGTGAGGGCGCGCCCTGGCCTGACTCCATGCCTGCCATCCCGGGAGGGCAGGACGAACTCCCGTTCAGGGCAGTCAGTCGCGGGAACACCTCCCAAAGAGTCATTTACAAGTTCTGTGCCCCTGGGGGTTTGTCGTCAGCCTGCCAGAGCGCCGGAGCGCTGGCGTGCCTAGCTGGGGGCCTGGGGCAGCCACTTGGGGACGCACAGTGACCCTGGGCGCGTACTTTGCTTCCCCATTAGAGATGTCGCCCAAGGGATCCTTAACAAGGCCTACCGCAAAGTACTGGATCAGCTGTCCGCCAGGAAATACCTGCAGACGCTCGTGGCCAAGGGCTTGGGGTAAGAGTTTGCGAAAGAGTTAAGCGGCGCAGAATCGCGCGCGCGCGCTCCGGGGTGGGAGTCCGTGCGAGCGCGCGCGGGTGGGCGGCGCCGCTTCTGCGTCCTTGCGTGCACGTGGGCCCTAAGGTGCGTCTGCGCCGCCGGGGCTTAGGGGCCAGCCTACGGTCACAGGGAAGGTTCGGGTACGGCGCCTTAAGTTTGGTGAGTTCTGAGCGGCGAGAGGCAAGGAGAGGGCCGAGAAACCGGGAATTTAATCCGTTTTAAATTAAAAAACAAAGAAAAACTACGCTCCGCCCCAAGTCATTGAAAACCTTCAAGCTTCGCGGGACGATTTGCTAGAATTTCCTCTAAGCATGACTTAAAAAAAAAAATCCTTTTACTGTAAATTCAAGTCGAAACCAACAAATCTTCAAATTTGGGGAGCTAGGGTAACAGTTCTTTTGCGCGTGCCAGACAAACCGAGAGCACAGGGCTTGCGTGGAGCATCTCAGCAGAAGGCAACATTTTAATAAAGCCCATGGGGAAACATTACATTTTTCACAATGAATAATTCATACGATGAAAAATATTGCCTACATCCTGTCGACTTATATTATTATCATCACGTTTTTCGACTTAGAATGCGGAAGGGGAGGCGTGCTCCAGTCTGACTAGGATTTGAGGGATCGATGTAAAACTCCCAGGCAGCAGCTAACGTGGCACTTGAGGCTCTTTGGTTATTTTCTCTGTTCGTGGGGGGTGGGAGGAACAGTTAGGACAATTTAGCGCAAAAGCACGGATGGTCAAATCTCAAAGGGCAGCGTTTGGAGACAGGTTAGGCGCGAATCGCGCTCGTGCCCTTGGCCTGGACCTCATCGCGGGCCCCTTCTGTAAGGACATGTTGCCAGCAAATCCTCGGTGGGGAGGGCGGAGTGAGGGGTTTCGGTCCCTTCCCTCCCTCCCCCGGCTTCTTACGGGCAGAGGAAGGTGGCGCGGTGCGCCCGAGAGCCGAGCCTTCCTGGATGACTCCCGCGTGGGGTGGGGCCCGCCTGCTCCCCGCAGCTATTGAATGTGTGTCTCCCGCCCCGCCACCCTCTTCCCGACCCCTTTCCTTGCAGTGGGAACCTAGGCGGCGGCGCAGAGGACGACTCAGAGCCTCTCTCCAAGCGCCACTCAGACGGAATCTTCACCGACAGCTACAGCCGCTACCGGAAACAAATGGCTGTCAAGAAATACTTGGCGGCAGTCCTAGGGAAAAGGTATAAACAAAGGGTTAAAAACAAAGGACGCCGAATAGCATATTTGTAGCGATGAGTTACCAGCTACCCTGTGTATACAATCCTGACATTATGAAAAGTCACTTTCCCAACTGACTGAACAGTCATCGCTCATGTGTTCTATCCAAACATGTATTTATGTATGAAGTAAAGCCATTAAATGAATATTTTGATAATAATATTGTTTTTCTTTTTACAAAGCACTAGAGAATGCACAGATATACTTTGTGGACCAATTGATATATATATATATTACAAATATATATATTAAGAATATATATATATAGGTATAATAGACAGCAGTTCATACAAAGTGTGCACAAGGATTGAAAATTCGCCTGAGCTGTTTATGTTTTTATATAAAATAAATAGAAAAATAGACAATCATTGTTTTGAATATTACTCCTATTTTTATAAAATGGAATTAAAAGGATAGTATTTTTATCCACGACAGGCCTGAAGATATTAATACTGACCATTTGCTACTGTACATAATGATGCCCTGCTCCAGGGAGATTTGAAGGTAATGATTTGGGAGAATTGCTGAAGGGCGTTCTTTCCTAGTGAGTCTCTGGGCCAGGCTGCTTCAGTCCCAGGTGTACTCAACTAGGCACTGTCCCCCTTTGTTGCCCTCGCTGTTTGGCAATTCCAATACTTCTGCTTTCTTTGGTTCTTTTATATGTATTTGTTTCTCTTTAGACTCTCAGCCTAGAAGGAAATTCTCCTGATAAAAAACAACAGCTCAATCCAAATTGTGCTTCTCCCTAGAATTCACACTGCTCCCTGGGGAAAGTGTTGGGGGGTTGTACAGAGAAGGGAGATTTGTGTAGAAAGCTCCCTTTTCTGTGCTTCCAGGAAACCCAATATCCCAAGGGTAGGGCAATTGGAACAAAGAGAAGGCAATGTAGGTAAGTTGGAAGAGGCAGAGCATAAGGCAGTCAGAGGAGGACCCTGGAGAGGGACTATTTTGGAGCTGCCCTGTGTCTGGGACGCGGAGGGTAAGCCCGGTCCCACTGTGGGTCCCCTGCCTGACTGACTTTGGGCGCTGAATATTGGAAATGGATGCAAAGTACAATGTGTTTTTCTCCAGTGCTGTCAATGCTTCTCATCTTGTGAAATGACCAGGATACTCCTCTTTGAACCCGGCTCTCTAGGAGCCATCCTTTTCTTTTGCGGTTTTCTGAAGGCTCTTCTTTCCTAGCCTTTTGCACTGTTGAAGTACCGTTTACCATTTTCATTCATTTCTCTTAAAGTTGTGAATGCTTCTTTTTTGTTGTTGTTGTTTGCTGCAAGTACTTATTGTAAAGTTTAGGAACCCCTGTGTAGTTACCACTAAGTAATTATGCACTAAATATGAGCCTTTTGTTTCTTGTTTATTGAGTTTGTAGGTAAAATGTATTTTTCTACATTATGGCTTATTGCTTAGTAAAATTTATTTCATAAAACCAACCTTTGTCATATTAGAATGTGTAGTGTTCACATGTTGCTCAGTTTTACTAACTGATAAATAATTTAAACCTCATCTTCATATGTATGAGTACTATCTTATATATTTGTGGTCAAGAGTGAAGTAAGCAAGCTCCAACAGACCCTGAGAACCTCCCCCTTTGTATCCTTTCCTGGCTACTGAAAGCATGTCTGTCTGTTTCCTATCAATTCCTTGAACATGTGAGTAATCTCTATAAACAAAAGAACCTTCACCCAGCAACCAGATCAAGCTACAACAGGCAAACCAGCCAAACTCCCAAAATTCAGGCACAAATTCTTCTGGAAAATTAAAAAAAAAAAAAAAAAGAATAAGAAAAGATTAAACATTAGCTTGTAAAGTTTAAAGGACCTTTCTTTTTCCTTTACGGATTTGATTCAGTATGAAGTCATAAATCAAAGAAAACAGAATTGGATTTGCATTCCCAGGCGGGATGGATGCTGCCAGGAGATCACATTGCAAACAGTGAAAGTACAGAGGCATTCGATCTATGCCTGAGTCCTATGTACGGGATCAATCTTTCTTTAATTCTGCAGTCTCCTCAGGCAATGTGACATGGGATGCAGTTTGCAGCTTTAGTGCCTTTCTTCGCCTTTTAAATCGCCACGAATCACAGATGGCTATTTAGTGGCCCTACAATGCTGCAACACATCGGCTTGCATTTTAGTCTTAATTATTTGTTTCTTGGATAATGGGCAGAGTTTTCTGTATTTGTGTCAGCTGTAGTGGTGAAATAGGGCTCTAGTTAACCTTTTATTTATGAAGTCTAATTTAGTGTTCCCGTGGCTAGTTGCAAGCATTTACAGTGATCACCCAGTTTAATCTTTTGTATACTTTTTAGAAATGCCAAGAGCCTTACTAACCTGGAGCAGATTTATGATATAGTGATAATTTAGGTAGATGTTAGTCTTGAAGCTCTTATTTTGTGTGCAACTGATTATAAAAACATCTTAACCAAGTATTATTACACACATGATATCTATAACTAGGACTTTGATAACTGTTATATAAAGTGTGTAAAATTTGTATGAATAAATTTTTATAAACAATGCAACTTCGTCTAATGTTTGGAGAGAAAAAGACATTCAGGAAATAACTAAAATCTCTTAAAGTATTATATATTCTTAGCAACCATAAGATCTTTCATGTCTGGAACATATAAGCATCCATGTATTTTCATAAACTGTACTTTAATATCTGCTTCATGTGTTAACTGAATTCAACTAAAAATTTAAAGTAGCTACTCAGATGGAGATGCCTAAGAAGATATTAAGTTCATAAATAGGCACAGATGTTGGTACACTTACAGGATGAACAATTTAGGTTAATTTCCACCTCCTAGTGGATATATACATTGTTCAGTATTCAGAAAATTACTGCCCACTGTTGGGAGATAGTACCTGGGTATTAGGTATGCTTCTAAAATAACAATCTAACATATTCTTTTACACGTAACTCTGCAGACTAAATTGGTCATGGATAAAGTTCTGTATAACAATGATTTAATCAGTTTTGGAGGTTTTAAAATATGTTTAGAGATCTACAAACTATCTCTGATTAATGTGCTTTGGGTGGAAGCAAAGAGAACATGAGCAAGAAAAGAGTTGATTAAATACCTTTAAAAGACAATGTATTTTGTCTTTAAAAAAGAAAGAAAATATGAACAGTTATTTGTAGATTCTTTTGTCTTATTAATTGACATTAACAAACTTTAAAGCACAGCCTTTATATGAAATTCCCATGAATTTCTCAATTGTGTTTATTTTGGAGCCCTTGATGATTTCTGGGTTAACAAAAAGTACTGCAAGTCACTTATAATAAGTCAACTGTAATTTAATGTAAATTTCTAGACTTTCATCCTAAAATTAATATATTCAATTAATCAATAAATCTGTCACAGTAATATTAAAGAATGAGCAAAGATCAGCAAGGATTAAAAAACTATTTTCAGAACTTAGCTCAGTATTTAAGGCCCAGAATCATTCTAGGAAGGAGCTTATGATCTAGAGATCTCATTTGTAGTAAATTTTAAAAAATGAATGCAGTATAATTCATATTTACATTGAGTTTTATTGATAAGCTTTTACTTAACTGCCTACCCCATGGAGCTGCTATGTGGTAAATGGAAAAATGAAGAAAATTAATTTATTTGGTTGGAGGCTAATAACTTATCAAGAAAGTAGAGATATAACCCAGATTGGCTGACTTCAAGTGAAATTCATATATATAGCAACTTGCTATATTCTCTTATGTAGGATAAATCAAATGATGGTTTTTCCTTGGAAGGCTTGATATATTTAGATACCCAAGAAGTGTGATTTATTGCTGTTAGGGCTGGGAATACATTGATTCAATACAATAAATTTTTATTGAACACCTAAAATGAGCCAGGCACAATGGTTGAGAAAGCTTAATTAACACCTGGGAGTTAAGGTAGTCTTTTTTCCAAAGAATATTCTTTTGCTACAAGATCACGTGAGAGACTTGTTAATAATGTAGATCGCAGGGCTCCACCAGAATAAGTGAATCTGTGTTTTAAATAAAAATCCTAGGTTAATGGGCACTAAAGTTTGCGACCACCTAGATTTAGAATTTGGTGACATAGATAGGCATATATGTATGCTAGAACTGCATGGTTTTCTTTTTTTGTGTGTGTGTGTGTGTTAAATAAGCAACAAATCATGGTATCTGTACATAGTAATAAATACATGAATAAGTTATATTCTCCCAGGATGGGCATTAGGCTATTTGAAAAATTGCAGTATTTATTTTAGGTCACTAAGGCTATAGTTAGCATCATTTTATTTCTGTATTCTGGTTGGACATTTATGTTCAAGGGGCTTCTGGAAGGAGAGTGATCCTATAAGTAGAGTATAAACAATTGAATCACATGACAGAGGGATGAATGAAATCACTGAAAGAAACTGTGCAGCCAGCTGGCAGTAATTCCGTGGATCCAGAAGTCAACTTCCAATTGCATCATATCCAAATTTGGCTTGAATATGTCCCCACAACTGTTTATAAGAGGATTCCAGCTGGATGCCTGGCTATGACCTCAGACTCAACCCTACTGTTCACGTTATCATAAGATGGGAACCAAGATCAAGTCTGAGCTCTTCTCTTTCACTGCAACCCTTCTCGATGAAGGGAGATGTCTGCTCCTCTTGCTGCTGCCCAGTGGTTTGTATTAGTCAGCCTGCTTTGGTTATTCTCACTGTTCCCCAATATAATCCATCTTTTTTAGAAGGACGGATTCATATCCATCTTTGAAATGCTAATGCTCTTTTTTGTCTCCCAACCATCGCTTTATGCCTCAATGTCTTTTCTCTGTCTACCCTATCTTAATATTCTGGAAGGTCCAACTCAAGCCCTCTTTTTCTAGGGATCTTCTCAGCCTGTCAGAGTGACCATAGCTTCATTCCTCCCATGTTTCACCCTCACATTGTTCTCCTGTGACCCTTATTCTCTGTAGTACTACTTCTGGTCTCTAATTTCACACTTCTCTGCCCTGTTTCTTAACTGTTTTATAAGCACATGGCTGTCTTCTCAGCTAGATTACCTCCTGGAGATGGCCAGTGCATTGCACTTTAATGCCAGAACACTTATGGGAACATAGTAAATACCTCTTTGAGTGACTGAAATAATCAAAGGACTTACAGAATTCACCATGACATCTCCCTCTTACTCTATTAGGACAGCAGCTACAAAGCATATGTAGGAAGTGAAATTACCTTACTAATT